CTGTTAGGAGAACCTTCAGGATGCCAAATGTGCCACGGGGTGGTTGGCACACCTACGACGTCCGTCGTCAGCAGCCCATCGCAGTTGACGCGATGACAAGGACGCAGTATCGAAGGTACCTCCGCAAGAATGCTCAAGGAAGGAAGATTGCAAACTTGCAAGCAAATGTGAACGTAGACAACTCTGCCACGGGTCTGAGAGTGACTGTGGCCGGTGCTGGAAAAGTGGTCGAGGACAACCTGGACGGGAACGATCAAGGAGTCCCGGGAGAGGCTGAGTACGATGCTGAGCTGGACGACTCCCTCATCGAAGAGGAGATGCTGGAATTGGAGGAGCCGAAGTCGAAATTCGATCGAAAGAACAAGGATGACGATGATGACAATCAAGGTGCACCCATGACGATCCAGTTTGGAAGTCTACCACCGGTGGTGGTGAATAACTACATCTTGCCTTTGATTTTCCACATTGATTTGGAAAATCAGGGAGAGGATGGCGAGGTCGTGATGGAGGTTGAGGAGTTGGACGAGGCTGCTCAAGAGGTCAACGTTGCTGAGCTGGTGAGTGGTTTTGCTCAACTGACTCTAGAGGAGGAGAATGAGGAACCAGCGGCGGCAGAGCTGGTTGGCGAATCTGCGGATCTGCCAATCGAGGCTGAGCCGTGGAGTGCAATGATGGCTCGCACGAATGGTCGGATTGACTTGGCAGTGGAGTCAGCCAAGCAAAACAAGAGTTCGCAGCGAATCCTGAAAGAGCTGTACGAAGCAGGCCACAAAGCTGTTGGGCTACTGGGCGAAGATGAGGGAAGATATCCTTTTTACGTGTTATACCAAGGCCCGAAAGAGTCAACAAGTGTGCCGGTGGAGAACATCACATGGGAATCAGACTTCGACAAGCTGGAGAAATCGATTCAGGCTGCAGAGGCGAAAGGGAAAGCCGTGGACGAAGGAGCCATGAGTGAAGAATTGAACAGGGTCGTTGTTTTCAACGAGCCCGAGCCGAAGATGATGCGTCATTTGAGGCCTCTCTACATCAAAGCCACACTTGATGACGTACCAATGTCGAGAGTCTTAGTTGACAATGGCGCCGCAGTAAACGTGATGCCAACAAGGATGCTGAAGAAGTTGGGCAAGAACACTACTGACTTGATCCCAACAGAAGTGTTTGTGACAAGCTTCAATGGCGGATCCACTTCTGCAAGGGGAATCCTCCCAGTTGTTGTGGGAGTTGGATCACAGAAGCGGATGAGTGCTTTCTTCGTGGTGGATGGAATGATAAGCTACAACGCACTACTTGGTCGGGATTGGATCCACGCCAACAAGTGTGTTCCTTCATCGCTGCATCAGTGTTTGATGTTTTGGAATGAAGATGGTGTTGTTGAGGTGGTACAGGCTGACACAAAGCCGTTTGCCGTTGGGGCCAACGTTGCTGAAGCTTATTTGTACCATGGAGATTTTGGACCACTCGAAATCAGGAGCGGGGATGGAGGAACGACCAACGTCATAGTGTCAAGTGCACAGGTGTTGAGTAAGGCGTGCTTGGACCCATTGTCCGAAATCATGAGACCATCAATGCTTGCATTAGGTGGTCCACCAAAATCAGAGTAAGCCACCTCGAGAGAGGGTGGAGAAGGCCGAAATCACGGCCTTGATAGAGGGGTTGCCGATCAACGGCGAGGACGCGAGTAACAAGTTGGGAGAGGAAGCAGTGTGCTGTCTGCGACATTGTGGAAGAAATCAACTTTGGCAGGAAGGATGATCCACATTCAACGTTCATATTGCCAGCTTGCATGACTATGACAGGTACGAGTTAACTCTGATTCTGAATGGCTTCAAAGATTGTTTTACGTGTGAATATTAGGAAATATAACATGGATATGTTGCAATCATGTTGTATAGCCAGTTTATCTCTTTTTATTTTAGATTCATGCATGACTGAGCTACGTAGATGCCATCGGCATTGCATTAACCTAGTCAAGGCTGTTGGTGTATGGTTGTGTTGGCTAAATGGTTTGTTTTCTTTAAGCCAGAATTGTTAAACATGGTCTGTCGATTACTGTGTTGTCGAGATAGTCACACTATCGACCAAGATTAAACATGGCTTTACTTTTAATTTTCTTTGATAATGGTTGATTAGGAAATAATGACCAAACATGGCCATTTTTGCCTAAGCCACGTAGCAGTGGTGCCGCTTTATTTTTCTTTTCATATCAACAACATTGTTGGGGGGCACGGTGTTGCGGAAGCAAAATGACTATTATATTATACCATCCAAAAAAAAGAGAGCGGCCAAAACAACGATGATGACGAATTGAAAAAGAAGAAGAAAAACAAAAAACCAGGATTGTTTGGATGATGAACAGTGCTGCTGGAGGTCCTAAGCGGGGCCGCAATGGTATAAAATATAATAATAAAAAAAAAGCCTCTCAGCGCTGCGGCTGTGGCTGACAGCCATGATAAAAAAAAAATTTAAGGGTAGAGAGGGCGGCCAACAACTCTGGTGAAAAAAAAAAAAAACAAACAAAATTCCAGTTCTGCGGCCAACAGCTCTGGCGGAAGAAATATAATAAAAAAAAAAAAAAATTCCCAGCACTGCGGCTGTTCCCAACAGCCCTGAAAAAAAATATATATATATATTTATGCATGCACCGCTGGCGGAAGAGAGTAACAGCTCTGGCCGAATATAAAAAAAAAAAAAAAAAACTCAGCGCTGCCTCCGTTGTTAGCAGGCCTGATGATAATAAAAAAAAAAAAAAAGAAAGAGATTCCCGACCCTGCGGCCGTTCACAACAGCCTAGAAGAAGAAAAAAATAATAATAAAATAATTTAATGCATGCATGCAGCGCTGGTTAAATAAAAAAAATAATAATAATGCAAACATTTGTGCCGAGGTGCAGGTCTGCTAAAGAGGAGGCCCAAAAGAAAGAAAGAAAAATTCCGCCAATTTTTGGTGGATTGGTGGTTTAGATTAAAATTATTTTAGGTGTTGTGGACTATGTCAACAATTTGGTTCATAATTCTTATAAACCAAATTGTGGGGGGCATTTGTTGACACCTAAAATTAATTTGTCCTGAATTAAATGCCGCATTAATTAGTCTAGGCATTTAATTCGATACCGCGGGTAAAAAACGGTGTCGTTTGGAGTTGAGCGGTGTCGCGGAGAGTTAAAACGATACCGCGAAACGGAAAAGCGGTACCGCAAGGAAGCTCAGCGGTACCGCGACACCGCCGGAAAATAAGATGGGGCCGCGCGTTTTGTTATTGGTGTTGGAGAAGGAGTTTTTTCTCTAATTAATTATTATCTTTATTCCTTATCGGAAAGGGAAAAAACGATACCGCGTGGAGTCGAGCGGTGTCGCGGAGAGTTAAAACGGTACCGCGAAACAGGAAAACGGTACCGCAAGGAAGCTCAGCGGTACCGCGGTACTGGAAACGGTACCGAAAATAAAAAAGAGGCGCGCGGTTAGTTGAGTATTGGAAAAGGAGTTTGTTTATAATTAATTATTATTTTTAGTCCTTGTTGGAAGGGGAAAATCGGTACCGCATGGAGATAAGCGGTATCGAGGAGAGTTAAAACGGTACCGCGGATTAGCAAACGACAGTGTTAAAATTAAAACAGTGTCGCGAAGCTCAAAAGTTCAACGCGGGACAAGGAAACGATGTTGTTTAACTGAGAACGACGCCGGGGGTGAGAGTTTGACGGCGAGTTAACAATGAGGGCTGATTTAATTAATAAGTATTTTATTATTATTTTAGACGGTATCGTTTAATACGATGCCGCGGAGAAGTAAAACGACACCGTTTAAGGCATCAACAACGCCGTAGTATTACTAAGCGATGTCGTTTTGTTAAAAACCATACCACGATGGTTAGGATTTTGGCGAGTGGCCCGGCAAGCTCAACGACACCGCAAGACAAGAAAAACGGTACCGTTTGGTAGAGAACAATGTCATAGAATGATAAACGACACTGTTTGACTGGATGGAGCAGTTCAAGGTCGGCATCGATTAGTGAAAGGCGATGCCGCGGAAAGATTAAACGATGCCGCAGGAGGTATCAACGACATCGCGGTATCATAAACGATATCGTTTGATTAAAAACGATATCGCAGTGGTTCAGAGTTCGGCCAAGGGTGGCCCGCCAAGTCCAACGACGGCGCAAGAGTAGAAAACGACGTTGTTTGATGGACTAACAATGTCGTTGGTTAAACCGGGTCGGGGCAGTCAAGTTGGATTATAAAACGACACCGGTTGGTGAAACGACATCGTTACATGGACAAGGTTGTAGGTCGTTTCGCCGAGTTTCTGCAAACAGGAGCGGTTTCGATGGCACGTGATTATCACGCAACAAGGAGGAAGTTACCTGCACGGTTGACGGGAATGAAGACGTGGGAGACAAAGGCGCGAAGGCAGTTACTACGACGAGGAGAAGCGCGAAGTATAAAGATTGGGAAGAGAGAGAAGTTCGGGAGGGCAAAAAATCAAATCACAACTGCACCATTGCAGAATTATCTTTTTCTCTCTAGTTTCGTAGAACCGCTCTGTCAAAGAACTCCTTTGCAGAGTCGTAGATCGTAGCTTGTAGTCGTAGTCGCGGAGCTCTCCAGAGGAACCTCCATAGGAGTAGAGGTAACGTAACTTAGAACACTCCTGGTTCGATTTTCTGTTTATTCGAACACCCTCGTTCGAACGTAGTTTGGAGAGGTGTAGAACCGAATAACAGTTGTTTGATTAGAAGTCAAAGGTGTGTCGATCAAATCAACGACGCCGACACCGGCGGCGGCCATTTGACGATCGTCTTTGTTTCTGTTTTAATCGATCAAATCAATGGCGCCGGCACCGGCGGCGGATATTTGACGATTTTTTTGCTGACGTGTGTTTTGTGTTTTTCTTGAAAACCGTGCGCAGTTAACACACGAGTTTCGCCAACGAAACATATGTCCATTGATGCAAATTGAAGCTTAAAGCTTGTTTCTCTTTCTGGCGTGTTTCGATCGGGGAAATAGGTCTTGAACATGTTGTGTTGTTGGGTGGAGGATCCGAATTCAGAAGCATTCAAGAGCCATCTGCCCAGAATCAAAGATTACCTCTGGGTAGCTGAAGATGGCATGAAAATGCAGGTAATTAACTAATTAATAATATAGTTTCGTCGTAAAAAGTCGATCAATTCATCTCGATATTATGTATATTTTGAATTTCGGTAGGAGGCTGAAAGAGCACGTACCTAAGTACGACATTGAATTGCACATCTGCGCCTAATCTTACATGTCTCTTATTACTCGCAATGGTGATTTTAAAAATATAAATCGAGTTATCACGGATAGCAAACGATCGAAAGTTGATCCAACAATATCATCATAAGCTTTGGATTAATGATCATATACCCCTTTTAACCTAGTTACAGGATTGATATTATTTTGTTTCCATCTTCATACACAGGGATACAACGGTTCTCAACTGTGGGATGTCTCGTTTGCGATCCAATCGATTCTCTCAACGAATCTCTGGGAAGAGGAATTCTGTGCTTCAATGCTCAAGAAGGCACACAACTTCATAAAAAACACACAGGTAATACTTCCATGAATATGCTTTCATACTTACCATAGTAAAGAATCCAAATAATCAACTATTTAAAGTATAGAAATGTATAAAAATCTTAGTCAGGAGCCAGCTACATGTATACCTCTAGCTGTTCATTCATTAATATTTTTTCGGCATGGACAATACATATCTACAAAACTCGCGTCTTAACATCTCCGATACAAATCTTATCAGGAGTGGTAAGACATATAACTTTATAAATTTTGTATATATGAGTTTTGTATAAGATTTTAGTTCATACTTTCCGTTAACTTTGACCTTATACGAATATTTTTTTTTTGTTATGTAAATAACAATACGAATTGCTTGAAAATTAAAGATTAGAGAGGATCCTTCAGGCGATCTAAAGCAATGGTATCGTCATGGTCGAAAAGGTGGATGGCCTTTCTCCACTCCAGATAATGGATGGGCCGTCTCAGACACTTCTGCAGAAGGCCTAAAGGTAAATATTGGATATTATTTACTTTGTTCATAAAATCATAAGTATATATGTGTACGTATAAAAACCTAAAAATGTACATAAAACTCTTTATAGTTGAAAATGTAACTATTATTTTAAACTTTTTACGTGTGTCACAGCTTATTCTAATCATAATTTTTTTACTGCAGGCTGCTATGATTCTGTCTCAGATGCCAGCAGAAGTTGTAGGAGATCGTCTTCCAGTAAACCAATTGTTCGATTCTGTTAATTGCATTGTATCTTTCCAGAATGAAAATGGAGGGTTTGCTTCGTATGAGCTTACAAGATCTTACCAATGGTTAGAGGTAATTATTTTTTACTCTTTGACTTTACTTTCCTTTGATCGTCACTTTGTCAAGAACCAGCTGATCCCTTATACAATAATCCGCATTCAGGCCCTCAACCCTTCCGAGATGTTTGGAGATATCATGATAGATTATCAGTAAGACTACATACCATCACCACTCCTCGATTCAAAGCCATATCAATGATTGAACAACACTCGTTCAAACGATTTGTTCTTCTCATCGTATAAATTTGATGTTAGGTACGTGGAATGCACTTCGTCGGCAATTCAAGGACTGAAAGCGTTCACAACAGCTCATCCAGGACACAGAGAGAAAGAGATTCGAGCGTGTATTGTTAAAGCCCTTCACTTCATTCAAACCATACAACTCCCCGACGGCTCCTGGTATGTGCAGTATTATCTCGAACCCACAATCCCACCCCGAAAAGAAGGATTATCGCTCTAATTACTAACTTGTACATAACAATATTTCAGGTATGGGTCTTGGGGAGTTTGCTTCACATATGGGACATGGTTTGGGATAACAGGGCTTGTGGCTGGAGGGTTGACCTACCAGAGTTGCCCCTCCATCAAGAAAGCCTGCGATTTCTTGCTATCCAAGCAACTCCCTTCTGGAGGCTGGGGAGAGAGCTACCTTTCTTCTCAAACTAAGGTAGCTTGGGGTACACTCCAATCTTCAAGTACTGAATTTTCTTATGAAAATGCCATGAAACACACTAATAAAATAAAAAAGTTTCTTTGGTTAATTACTTAATTAGGTTTACACAAACTTGGAAGGTGGGAGGTCACATTTAGTGAACACTTCGTGGGCCATGTTGGGCCTCATTGAAGCTGGACAGGCCGAACGGGATCCCAGCCCACTACATCGAGCTGCGAAGTTCCTGGTTCATTCAGCAATGGAGAATGGAGACTTCCCACAGCAGGTAAAATGCTCAAATCAAATTTTGAGATTAAAATAAATGAAATAAAACTCCGATTGTCATGTCCTTTTATTTTTTATTAATTACATGTTTTATTTAATGAAGTTTGTATACTAAAAATGTTTCCACTTTTTCCACGTATCAGGAAATCATAGGAGTATTTAACAAGAATGTCATGATCAGTTATTCGACATATCGAAACATATTTCCGATCTGGGCGCTCGGAGAGTATCACAATCGGGTATCGTTGCCTCTGCAGAAGCATTGAAACTCCAACCATGTTTATATATGATCTATGTATAACGTATATGTATTATATAAATTTATGTGCCCATTATTATGGAAACTTTTGGAGGGGACATTTATGGCATAAATTTTTCTGTTTTGATAAAATTTAATTTGTTCGGAATGAATCGAGTCAATAACATAGTATGTTAGTGAATATGCATAACTTTTTTTATTATTTAAATTTAATGAGCTATATATTTCATTCAATTCGAAATTCATTTTTTCACATAAAAAGAAAATTCATATTAATTGTGTTCTTCAGAATGATATTCATTTTGAAACAAGAAAAAAATTGAGGCATATATTACCAATCTATACCTTGGTGGCAGTGCGTTGTAGTACATAAGATTATACAATAGTGATATGAAAGTGTACCACTGTGGTATAAATATTTTAGTGTAGAATGATTGTATACATGATAGTAGAAATATAATAACCATCATTTACCACCTTTCATCATTGTCTCCATTAGTTACCACTCTATACCACAATGATATATTTGGTAGTGAATTTTTCCCCAAAATTTTGTAGATCACAATATATCATGATGAATTCATTCATTCTATTAAGTATTTTTTAAAATTTGATTTAAAACGAAGGTGTTACAAAGTATTACTAGGTGCACCAAAGTGGTAACTAGTGGTTATGGGTGGTACGAATGGTCGACCAAATGTACTATTTTCCATTTTGCTATGTTCAACAAACGGTCAACCTCTTCCACTAAAAGGTCGTCTCAGCACTATTCAAAAAAATGATTCACCACTTCTATCAAGTGGTCTACCTCTTTCCGCAAGTGGTCCACCTCTTTAAATAATTGGTCCACCTGATGAACCATTGCTAGTGATATCATCATATGTAATTAGAGTACAATAATAATAGATATGCTTGCTAGTAAGAGATTTAAAATTAGTACAAAGGCTGCAGACATAGATGTCAAGTTTCTCGAGTGATTGTTCTCCCGTAGATTTGAAAAATGTTTTGCATATTTATTTTTATAATTGACTTACTTTATAGAGACTTTCATCTTTCTGTCAAATTCTAAGTTTTATTGTTTCTATCCTATAGTTGTCTTGTGATGGATCAACTTTGTTGCTATTGTTATTATGAAGATGCTCAAAAAGTAGAGTATATTTGTTATACAATTGTGTCATCTTCAACGTCCATAAATCTCATATCATCGATTTTGTGGGTTTTTATTCCAGAAGAGTTAAAAGATGGTGTTTTTTTTTCTTGGCCTATAATTTGTGTTGGATTTGGTTGCCCATGTTGCGTTACTACAAAACAATTTTATACTGTTGTTTTCCTAATGTAAGTATAAGGTAACTGTGTCATCTGGTCGACCGTTCGCCAAAAGCTAAGGTCGTTGGCCGAAAGAGGTACGTAAACCATTTTGAGGTGTTGTACATTCGGTGTTGTATTCTCTTTTTGGAGATGAATCACACCTATTGTTGGTGTTGTACATTCGGTGATACCGACTATACCTCGAAAGCAAACTCTAATATCTTCTACCACCATAGTGGTGTCTTTTTGGTACGTTGGTTTGCAGGGTAGTAATAATCCATTCCAATGGTGTTATGAAGATAAATCAAGAAAATGTAAACGATTCCGTACAACGATCAAGTGCTCATATTGATATGACAATAATTGAAGGAAGTGAAACAAGTTTCATCGGTCTATTAGGTGATAGTTTGATTGTATTCGCTTTTATGAATTTATGAAAGTAATTAAGCATGCTTTGTTGAAGATTGCTAATGTCATTTTCTTTGTTGAAGATTGTTAATTTCCTTTTCTTTTCTTTGTTGTGGTTTTTTATGGCAACTCGATTCTGGTCATCTGGCATACTCCGTCAAAGGAAACTACACAAGCTAGTGGAACTATCTTTGAGATGTTGGGTTTAGGTTTTTTTTTTTTTTTTTACCGTTAGTGTCGTGTATTTGCTCCTCGAAGCTTCTTCAGAGCTACCCAAGTAGTGGCTTTACAGGCTCTTTCATCGTAGTCTTGTTGCATACGGACTAACGCGTTGGGTTTGAGTCGGTCTTGTAATTGTGTCAAGTATTTGTCCCATGCCCTTTGGGCTTGCGTTGGATATAAAAAACCATTTTGCGAAATTGGTAGGATGTTTTGACCAAAGCGGTCTACCTCCTCCAACAAGCATGTGCAAGTTAAAGGTAAGTGTTTCACAAGTCGACCCATTGCTAGAAGCGGTAGGCCGGTTGCCTGAAGTGGTAGACCGCTTGGTGGAAGTGGTAAACCATTTTCTTGAAAAGTGGTCGGCCACTTGGTGGAAGAGGTCGACCACTAATTGTGTTATCAGGTCGACCCATTTCCAGAAGTGGTAGACCAGTTGACTCAAGTGGTAGACCACTTGGTGGAAGAGGTCGACCACTTCAAGGTAAGTCTGTCATCAAGCCAACCCATTTCCGAAAGTGGTAGACCGGTTGACTCAAGTGGTAGACCACTTTGTGGAAGAGGTTGACCGTTTTCTCCAACTTACGGTGACTTACAAGTCACCATAGGTAGGGTGTTCAAACAGTGTGGTTACCGTGGTAACCATTTTAACTGGTAGTATTCGGATAATTTGGTTTGATTAATTTGGATAACTATTTGGTTTGGTTTAGTCTCAGACATTCCTAACCAATCAAACCATATTAACCAGTTAAGTAATTAATCATATATCTCATAAATATTATATACACATACTTAATACTTTGCATAACCAGTTAACCACTCAAGTGTCAAACGTTCCTCCCTCTTAAACTCATTAAAAATCATGTTCAATATTGTTTCTATACTGTATATTTGCATTTGTAGAGTGTAGACAACAACATATGAACTTCTAATTTAGACAAGACTCATACAATATGTTGGATGAAAACTTGAAAGGAATGTCTTTTTCTGCCTATGATAATTGCTAAGAGAATAGGTCAATTTACGAAATACAACAGTTCATTAACCTCATACCATTGACATATATTTTTGTTATGTGAATACTTCTATTGACAGTAAGGATAATTGCATTAGTTACAAGCATTTATGTTGAGAGTTATAACTATAACTATGTGTTGATTGTTATGTTTTATTCATTATATAAATTGCGAATTGATGCATTAAACGAAGATTTTCTCACTTAATGATATTGTGATGTTATATTGGTTATTCTGGTTAACCAATTAACCAAACCGATTAAACTTTAGTTTGGTTGATTTGATTGTTGTATCAGTAGGACAGTTTGGTTATGATATTGTATTTCATGGTTTATAGATTTTAGACTTATCTGGTTTAGTAATTACTAGGGATGGCAATTTTGCCCATACCCATGGGTATTTTACTATCCAACCCAATTGGGTTGGGTATGAAATCCAAATATATGGATATGGGTAAAGTTTAATGGGTTTGTACCCATACCCATTTACTTTGGGTTAGATTTGGGTTTGTACCCATGTCCAAATACAAATTACAGTTTGGTACCTAAACTTAATAGATATGCATATTTAGTACCTAAATTTAATTTTTTTTGCATATAAGTCCTCAAAATATTGATGGAAAATTACGTTTTGGTACCTAAATTTTTTTGGTCTTACATTTTGGTACCTAAAATTTTCAAGTTTTACAAATAAGTCCAATTTTTGCATGTGTAGTTAAAACACTCTCAAGTAAATGGATATCCATATCCAACCCATACCCATTTAGATAATATCCATATCTAACCCAAACCCATACACACATCACCCAAACCCTACCCATAATAAATGGGTCTACTTGGGTTTGGGCAAAATTACCCATGGGTGGATAAATTGCCATCCCTAGTAATTACCATGGTAACCATTTGAACACCCCCTAACCACAGGCATTCCGATCCCCAAAGTATTATTATGGTGGTGACACCAAATAAGAATTAATATAAAAAGATAAATTAATAAGAAGGGGAAAAAAGCATACCTAAATCATATTTGCAAACATTAACACCAAGTCACCAATGGATCGAATTTCCAAACCGTCCAAATTTGTGGAGCTTTACCCTCTCTAATTGAATTTCTTTTAACAATTTAAGTAGTTATTGTCAGAGTGTACTCTATATATATATATAGCAATGGATCATAAATATGATACGAGCGTATAGTTAAACCATAGTGCTAGCTAGTTTCTACTTACCGGTCAAAACAATGTGGAGACTGAAGCTTTCAGAAGGGGAAGAAGATGATCCATTATTGCTGAAATCATACAACAACCATGTCGGAAGGCAGTTCTGGGAATTCGTTCCAGACCTCGCCGGAGACAGGGCTAAAGTTGTTGAGGCTCGACGTCAGTTCCCTCAGAACCGCCGCCGTTTCGGAGCCAAACAGAGCTCCGACCTTCTCATGCGACTCCAGGTTCGTATTGCATAATAATTACTTATTAGTTCTCTCTTACTTAATAATTATGTTTTTTACACATAATTAATTCCCGTCTCTCTAATTCGTTTTAAAATAACCAGTTCGCAAGGGAGAATGAAGGGAGAGGAGTAGTGACGAAAGTAAAGAGTGAAGAAGAAGAAGAAGAAGAAGAAGAAGAAGAAGAAGGAATGGTGAAGAGTGTAGTGAGAAAGGGGTTGAAGTTCCACTCGACTCTACAGCACCACACTGGGTTCTGGCCAGGCGACTATGGCGGCCCTCTCTTCCTGCTTCCTGGTTTGGTACGTTGTTTTTTTTTTTTTTTGCCATAGATATACAAAAAAGAATAATGTAAGTACGAGAAAAAAAAAATACTAAGGCATATTTTACCAGTATATATACATAGCGGTAAAGTTTGATGGTATATAAGAGTAGGGGTGGCTATACGGTCCGGTCCGGTTAAATTGGATCAAATTGATTCGGTCCCAGTCCGGTCTTTTCGGGAATATAGGACCAAAGATTGAATTGGATACAGTCCGGTCTTGATCCGGTCCGGTCCCAATTTTATCTTGATTTTAGGTGTTGGGGGTCTCTTATCCGGTCTTTATCCGGGTTTTTACCTCAAATCTAAGCCCGAATTTGAGATTGGATTGTTTACTATCCGGTCCCAGTCCGGTCCCGGTCCGGATTATACGGTCCGGTTTCGGGTAAAACCAAACAGTCCGGACCAAAATAGCCAGCCCTATATAAGAGTATACAATGGTAGTATGAATGTATCATAATGTAAAATGGTTGTATACGTGACATTAGAAATATACTAATCGCCATCTACATTCTATTTCTACCACCTTCCACTACCGTCTCCAACATTTATTATTGTGGTATAGAGTGGTATATTGGCTAAAAAAAGGTACGAGTCGGTTGCAAAATAAGAAAGATTTTTAATATCACTCTTCTGATCTAACTCCACTCAAAATTAAGGAGACAAATATGATTATGCACCCTAACCCTTATCGTTCCACCAAACTAGCGTATGTTTGGCTAGTGGAATTTGTTTACCTAGTGAATTAATTAATTAATAGGGCTTCTTTAATTATCTGTGTGTCGGGACAGGTAATTAGCTTGTATGTGACGTCGGGTGGCTTGTCTTCGGTGTTAGCTCATGACCAGGAACATGGAATCGAGCTGCGTCGGTACTTGTTTAATCACCAGGTAATTAACTAACCTCGTAGCGTGTTTTGCGAGGTAGGCTTATACATAATAAATTAATCTATACAATCGTTACACGTGCAGTCTAACATTTACAAACATTCTTTCTTCAAAATAGCTAGAGAATCCTAACTGCTGCTACTTACATTCTTTGCATCTGTTATTACTAAGATTTGTACACAATCTATATACATCCTGCATATAAACACACTGAAAGAAAATATGGTCTCTGGATTCAGCTTCCAGCCTACATAGTGGACAGGTTGCATTCGCCTCTGCAATCGAACACTGAATTTTTTTCCAGTGTTGTGATTCTCCCCAACAGAATAAGCCATGCTAGTAGCGAATTTTTAGGTATACCTCCTTTCCAAGTCAACTTTGCCCATGTCACCGGCTCCCCTAGTGGTCTTATGCTCTACAATCCCAATTCGATTAAACGGGATGACAGTTTTTCATTCCGAAACTGTAAAATCAGAACACCTTGCTGGTTTGAAATCTGGCCATTTCAACTCCCTCCCATTCCACTCCCTGATCTGTTATGCACAATTTTCCTACAAATGTATTTCGAAGCTTTAGGAGTTTGTTCCAAATCCAAGAGCCTCTGATCTGCACTTCCCCAAATGCTAAGATTTCGAAGTCTGTACTCCTTTAACCATGCGATCCAGAGAGTTTTCTTATCATAAAGAATTCCCCACAGGTGTCGTGCTAAACACGCTTTATTCCAAGGACAAAGGTCTTTAAACCCCAGACCAGCTTCAGCATGGGGGTAGAGCCACCATTTTCCAAGATACCCTTGCATTTTCCTTCTTCTCTAAGTCACTCCAGAGAAACTGAGAGTCAGAGCCTTTCTATCTCTTTGATTACTTTCTTAGGCAGCAAAATCACACCCATCCAGTACAGAGTCATACTGGCTAGTACTGATATATAACCAATTCTAGCTTCCCCGCATAGGATAAGAGCTTTGGCTGCCATCCTTGGATTATTCCAGCAATTCTATTAGTTAAAGCTTTTACAATCTTCAGTCGAAAGCTCCCCTGCATGCATTCAGGGGAAGTCCTAGGTATCTTACAGGTAAGTTTCCTTCCTTAAACCCACAAACTCTCGCTAGCTCAGCCTTTAATCCCTCTGACACCCCTGCACTGAATATCTCACTCTTACTCGGATTACGCTTGAGCCCTGAAATAATTAGATAGAACTTCCGGAGTATCTCAGATACTACCCCCACCCCTTCCACTGACCCTTTGGTAAAAGAGTAACAGGTTGTCAGCAAAACATAGATGAGTGAGTTTTATTCTACTGCATTGGGGATGAAAAGGTTGAAAGGATCTATCTGCTTCTCGATATAACATACAACTCAATACCTCCATACTGATGGCAAACATGTGGGGGGACAAAGGGCATCCCTGCCTTAGCCCTTCTTCTGCTGCTGACCATCTTTTTCTAATTGACTTCAGCAATTAGTTAGTTAATTAATTAACAAATCTTGGAGGGGCAATATTGAAAAAAGAATTAATGAATTTTCCATGAAATTAGAACGAGGATGGAGGGTGGGGATTGCATATAGAAGGGAGCAGCGTAATGTTCTGCACCGTGCTATCGTACGTGGCGCTCAGATTGATGGGCGAAGAAATGGACGGAGGAGATGGAGCGATGGAGAAAGCGCGAGCATGGATCCTCGATCACGGCGGTGCCGTTTACATCCCGTCTTGGGGCAAGCTCTGGCTTTCGGTACGATCGAATTGTTTTGCCATGCCAACTTTCTTATTTATGTTATCATCATTAAAACAAAATTAGTTCTAGCTATAACCAAATTGATCAGTCATGAAAATTGAGACCACGCGTTGGGTCGATTTGAATTGGACGGTTGGATCGATGTCTGGATTTTTAACGCGAAATGATCATGCTGTGAAAATGATGTAGTCACAGAATTGAAATTGAGTTCTCGTCGGTTCGTTAATCTTCACATTGAATTTTTCTTTCTTATGGTCATGAATGATTATTTGCAAGTGTTTGTACAGGTTCTTGGAGTTTACGAATGGACTGGGGTTAATCCACTACCCCCAGAGCTTTGGGTTTTTCCTTATACTCTGCCAATACATCCAGGTAAAATTGATGGAAAAAACCAATATTTGAATTAACAAAATAAAACGTGGAACCATTTTTCTTATTTAGCGTTCATGTAATGATATTAATTTGACCTGATGAGTTTTTCGTTAAAACCTCCCATTGAATTCTCAGGAAGAATGTGGTGTCATTCTCGGATGGTGTATCTGCCAATGTCGTATTTGTACGGGAAAAGATTCGTGGGAACAGTGAATCCTCTGGTAGTAAGCCTTCGAGAAGAGTTGTATGTGCTTCCATATCGCAACATTAATTGGAATCTCACTAGAAATCTTTGTGCCAAGGTACGTTTTTTTTTTTTTGTTTTTAATTTAAGTTTCCTTATGTATGGATGATCATTTGAACTCGAAATAGTTAATCCATCCATGTAACTTTATCGACGATGAAAAAGAATGATCGGCCACGTCCACTCAGACATGTACTCAGTGGAGGAGCGGCGTTAAACTCAGGGGAGGCTATACAGCTCCCCTCAACATTCAAAATCATGTAAATTTGGTAATCAATTTAAGAAATATAGCAGTTAGTAAGGCTTTAGTTCCTCCTCATGTCAGTTCAAATTCTCTGAACGTAAATTTTTAGCTCCCTCGTTCAGTTTTTTTTATTCCGGTATTGCATGCATATACTTGTACGAGGATTGTTAGGTGACGTTGATGGACAAGTAGACAAATTTAAGAAGTTGACGAGATTTTAAACTAAACAAGAGTCTGCTTCTGAAATACCGTAAGTTTGACAAACAATCCATATTTTCATTAAAGAAGACATAGCATTAATATAATACGTTGCAAATCATTAATTATTAATCTAATGTCAACAAAAATACTAGCATGCAATCGTGTTCCAAGTTCAGGCACAACCAAGTTTAAACAGGGGATTCTCTTCATTAAAAATGTGTAAAAGATAGTTTATGGTACGCGTTTCAAGTTTTACTCTAAAATAAGGACCACCATCAAATTATGTATTCTGTATTTTTGTACGTTTTTCTCCATTTTTGTATGTATACTGCATAGGTAGTTAGAATGTGCTATTGATCCGGTCTGTTCTTGGTTATAAAATGTTTTTTCTATATTGAACCGCGGTTCTCTTAATTAATTTGGACCGGTCCGAACCATACCAATCTGTTACACTCTCTTAATTGAAGATAATTAAAGTTAGAAACTAAGAAGAGACGATATAAACTAATGTGCAGGAGGATCTGTACTATCCACACCCATTCCTGCAAGACTTGTTGTGGGCTGGCCTCGACAAGGTTTGGGAGCCTCTAATGGCGACATGGCCGATCTCCAAGCTCAGGGAATCTGCCCTACAAACTTGCATGCAACACATCCATTACGAGGATCAAAACACCAACTACGTTTGTCTTGGTCCTGTCAACAAGGTAATGTTTGATATGAGTTGAATCGGGTAATCCGTCGTTCGACTATAGAAGTTACGGAGTTCTCACTGCATTAGTTGTCTTTCTTGTATTGTTGATATTGTCCCGATCCGTTCGTGATATATGTTTAGAATAATTAACAATCAGCCAAACCTGCACGAGTCACGTGTATCTTACAACTGATCATGATACGAATCGTACCACCTTTATACGCGATTACATCAGAAGGTGGTATACAGTTAGTATGAGAGGTGGTAAGACACGAGTTTTGTAGCTTATTCTAGATTTTGTACGCGATTACATCAGAAGGTGGTATATAGGTCTTGAACATGCTGTGTTGCTGGGTGGAGGATCCGAATTCAGAAGCATTCAAGCGCCATCTACCCAGAATCAAAGATTACCTGTGGATAGCTGAAGATGGCATGAAAATGCAGGTCACACTATATATATATCTATCTTCATCATGAAGTAATTTGATTCCCGATATACATCTATATTTGATACAAATCAAATCAATACACACAGGGCCACAACGGTTCTCAAATGTGGGATGTGTCGTTTGCTGTCCAATCGATTCTTGCAACCAATCTCTGGGAAGAGGATTTCTGTGCTTCGATGCTCAAGAAGGCACACGACTTCATCAAAAGAACACAGGTAATAATATTATTGATTTGCTTGCTCGCAAAGCCACATGATCAGCTATTTTGTCGAACCACGATATGTGTAGTAATTAATTAATTAATTAATCTTACCTGAGGTTTGGTGACGGTTTCAAGGTTGATCACAATTTTTATCAGATTTCCCAATAGGACACAAAAGGGTTATTGATTCAAAGCAAAACCTGAAACTTAACCCCTAAACACATTTAAGCCACAAGATTAGTTTCAACACACTAGTTACGTTCTAAGCAAGGACTGAAATATCGTACGGGATGTTGAATCGGAAAAGTCAGCGCGATAGGGGTATTTTATGCTAAAAACTGTGGTAAATGTTTTTTTTTTTCCCTGGCATTACTGCCTACAGGTTTTACTTCCAGTAAGAGATTTTTTTTGGTCCAACCACCAGCTATTTTTGAACTTATTTTAATAAACAAATTTGTTTTAAGGGGTTAGGCTTCAGTTTTTAGGGTTTTGGGTACTATGGCTTAGGATTTACAAGTTAGGGTTTAATGAGTCTAGGGTTAAGTTTTATCAAAGCGATTCAAGGTTTATGGTCTTAGTGTCTAGGGCGTTTAAGGAGCATGGTTCAAGATTTTGGGTGTGTTTTAGGGGGTTCAGGGATTAGGGTTTAATTAGGATTTTGGGTGTTATTTAGAGGGTTTCGTGTTTTAGGTTGTTCAACATTTTTGGGTATTACAATTTTAAGAATTTAGGATTCTGGTGTTCATATAACGAGGGTTCAAGGGTTTTAGAATTTAGCGTTTTAGTAGTCTAGACTCGTAGAGTTTATGGCATTATTATACGGTTACACAGTTTTATGGAAGCTATATGATGGTAATGTTTTTGTACACTTAAGCGAATAAGGGCTTGATCTAGCGGTTCTATCGTTCGTCTTCAACTTAGGAGATTACAGGCTCGAAACTCTTGATCAGTACCCGGCCTCTTAAATAACTCAAATAGAGTTTGCCACGATTTGAACAGAAGACTTCTCGCGATCACAGAAGGCTTCTTATACCTTGTCAATAACGAATCTTATACCACATAGATACACATTTTTTTCACTTGTTTCCATCTTCAGCAAATCTGATTCATATATAGTTAAAAAAATTAAAGATTAGAGAGGATTGCTGGGTTGATCCTAAGCAATGGTATCGCCATGGCTCGAAAGGAGGATGGCCATTCTCCACCCTAGATAATGGTTGGGCTGCCGTAGATACTTCTGCAGAAGGCTTAAAGGTACACACATATTATTACAGTACTCGTGCAATTGCTTATCTTAAGAATACATTATATCATGTTGTGGCTCATTTTAATTACGTTTCTGCAGACTGCAGTATTGCTATCTCAGATGCCAGTGGGAACCGTAGGAGATCCAATTCCAGTTAGCCGATTTTTCGATTGTGGTAATTTCATCCTATCCTTGCAGGTACTCCGTCGTTGGCTGAGATCGAGCTTTTTCGTTTTAGATAATTGTTGATCTTAATGTTTTAAGTATAACATATGGTGAATGATATCATCCGCATTAGGCCAATCCCTCGAGGTTGAATTGGTGTTTTGATAAGTATGTAAAATCTCTTGTTGTTTTTAAGAACCTTTAATGTTTCACCCACTGAAGAAGAGTGATGATCTCTTTTGGGTTTACCATACAGAATGAAAATGGAGGGTTTGCTTCCTACGAGCTTACAAGATCTTACCAATGGTTTGAGGTAATTGATTTTAACAATCTATTTCGTTTAATCCGTCGATAGAAATCTGGTTTCGATATCATTTTTTATTTAGACTATTTACTGCGTTTTGTCGTATTTTTTTGTAGTTTTCGGATTGTTTGAGTACACTTTTTAGGGTTTTCTTGGTGTTATTTGTCATTTTTCGTTCTTGGTGTTATTTTGTAGTTGTCGGATTGTTTGCGTTCTGATAACTTACAACGTGACTTACGTACATACAGGCCCTCAATCCTTCCGAAATGTTTGGGGACATTATGATAGATTATCAGTAAGATCGCCCTCCCAAAATGTCTCCTGCTGCCTTTCAAATGTCGATGTGATTACACATTTATACGTGTGACTCGATTTGATAAAGGTACGTGGAATGCACTTCATCGGCAATTCAAGGACTGAAAGCGCTATCAAAAGTATATCCGGACCACAGAAAGAAAGAAATCCAAACATGTGTCCGTAAAGCGCTCCACTTCATTAAGACCATACAACTCTCCGACGGCTCCTGGTGCGCACACTATTGTTCTCGACCCAATCCCACCCAAGAGGGAGTAGAAGGAAAAAAAAGAGTATTGTCACTCTTATTGTTGCAACTTGTACATATAACAAATGCAGGTATGGTTCATGGGGAGTTTGCTTCACATACGGGACATGGTTTGGGATAACTGGGCTAGTGGCTGGAGGGTTGACCTACCAGAGTTGCCCCTCCATCAAGAAAGCCTGCGATTTCTTGCTATCCAAGCAACTCCCCTCTGGAGGCTGGGGAGAGAGCTACCTTTCTTCTCAGACTAAGGTAAGCCCTACTCCCTCTTTGTAGCGCAGGGTACTCTTTTTTTTTTTTTTTGTCATAGAAATCTTGGTAGATTTACAAGGCAAGGATAAGGGTAGCCACAATAAACGGCTTACTCACTTATCAGAAGACATATAGAACAAATAAGAGAAATCGACTAACAATGAAGGTAAACCAGGAAAGCGTAGGGCATGTTGCGCCACTAAATGGGCAGCCCGATTCGCATCTCGAGTAGTAAATTGTAAAACAACTTTTGGCAACTGGACTAGTAACGCATGAACCTCCGAATAATAATGTTTTTGTTGGTTAATTAGGTTTACACAAACTTGGAAGGTGGGAAATCACATCTAGTGAACACTTCATGGGCCATGTTGGGCCTCATTGAAGCTGGACAGGTACAAAAATGTTTTAGGGTTTGTTAAGAAGTGTTGGACTTTTAGATAATGCCTTCTGAACTCCTTTGCTTTTTTCGATTGGATCAGGCCCAACGAGATCCAAGCCCACTACATCGAGCTGCAAAGTTCTTGATTGATTCAGCTATGGAGAATGGAGACTTCCCACAGCAGGTAAATGTTCAAATCAATTTCCATTTAAGTAAAAAAAAAAAAAAAGAACAAAACCCTAAATTTATGTCTTTCTAGTTTAATTTATAGTGAACAACATATATTTACTTTAAATAAATAGTTACATTAAAAAAAAAAAACACTTCTACTTCTTTTAACCTGTTAGGAAATCGTGGGAGTGTTTAACAAGAACTGCACGATCAATTACTCGGCGTATCGAAATATATTTCCAGTTTGGGCATTGGGAGAGTATCGCAATCGAGTATTATTGCCTCTCCAGCAGAAGCGTTGAAACTTCCATCCCACTTGTAATTTGTGCCATATAGAAGAAGTATATGTGAACCAAGTGTAACTTTTTTTTTCCCCCGTAAAATTCAGTGAGCGGCCCTATTTACCCAACAAAAAGTAATTTTCCGCTCGTGTCGTCGTCCTGTTTGTAAACGTGGGGAAACTAGTGACTCGTCAATCAGTGTGCGCGCGACAATAATAATTACACAAATATGATTGTGCATATGTTTTTTTTTTCTTCCAAAATCTAACAAAGTTTGTTTTCCACCAAAGGCTTAGCTTAGCTAGCTAGCTAGAAGGGAACAACAATGGGAGCTGGTGGAACCAGTGTTTCAATGGGTGAGTATTCATAAGGGTCGTCATCACCACCATTGGAGGAGGGAGTGAAATACTTTGGAACCCAGACCTCCCCTCTTGACCTCCTAGCTTTGGCCATGTCTCTCTGTTTCTCCTCCACAGCTCTCTTGGCTTCTTTGGCTTTCTCCCAGTCTCTGCTCAGTATCCCTCTGCTTACTTCGCTCCACACCAATGCCGATTCGCTCGGTAGAACACTCTGCACACACAAACATTATGCAGGCTATGCTTAAACCGAATCGGATTAACCCGAATGGAAAACTTTCATATCGTAAACGATTTTAATCGCGCATCAGAGTGGTCCGCTAGAGAAATGAGGGAGAATGAGTGGGGCTCGACCGACCTGGAAAAATGGGTTGGGTTGAGGGAGTTCGGATCGAATCGAGCGCGCAGGTTTTATTACTGCTGCCAGCGATCGAAAATCAAATTGGATTGTTTTTAGATACGAATCCGATTCCAACCGCGGGTCAGGTTGTACTGTCTGATTTTCTGATTAAACCAGAAAAATCGAAAACCCATTTCTACCCCTAGATATCTCTGGACCAATCCCTTGTTCGCGTGAGATGGAGATAGATTTACATTTAATCGAGTGAATTAGGTCAGAAATAATTTAAGGGCCAAAAGTTAAGAGTTACCTGTGGATCTTTGAGAATTGGGGCTTTTAACTTGGAGGCCACTTCTTTAGCATTGTAAATAACCCGCTCCCCTCCGCCATTCGGGTCCCTGATTTTCACGGTGCTGCATGCAGTAATTAATTGTAGGTAATTAACCAGAATTGGTAAAAACCGGCAATCAGATACTAGTTCAATTCTCAAGTGGAAAATTTTGCAGGACGAGATTGGTTATATTTACCTGCTCCAGTGTCCACGCAAAGTGTAGAGTAATTTATAATTATTGCCGGGGGTAGGAGAAGCGTCCGGCGGCGGCGACGTCTTGTAGATCTTGCCGGTGACGGAATGTTTGGCACTGGACCGCCGTCCGAAGAAGGAAGAGGTGGAGTAATTCAGTTCGGCTTCGTAGCCGGTCTCCCGGCAGCTGACTTTGACGGTCCCGGTCCAGTCGACGGCCGGCGGGATGAACCTGATCGTCATGTTTGGGGAATTCATGACGTAAGTTTCGCCGTGCTCCACAAGCTTCAGCGTCCTCTTCCCTTGCACTTCCACTTCCACCCTTGTTCCTAAGGGCAATATTCCAAAAATAATTTCGCAATTCAATAAATCCATGAATTAATTCGTTATTCGTAGATATGCTCTTTAATAGCAACTCGACTAGTAGTGAAAATCGAGCGAATTTAATTAGGTACGACGACGGGCGCGAGTTATATCTTGTTAGGACATTTTTGACGAACCTTAGTAATGATAACAATTTTTTTTTATTTTATTTTACGGAGCACACTGTTACTGTTAATACGTTACGTAAATTCCATATCGATAAATTGCTAGAGAGAGATCTATGATTTATAAGAAACTAACTTACAACATTAACTAACAAGATGCATTTTGGACTGTGATAGATAATTTCTTGTAAGAATTATAAATTAATTAAATCTGCTCCGTATGGAGCAGTACAATGATGAGTGATGATATTTTGAAAAATCATCATTACGTATCCAAAAACAAAATCATGCGTGACTAGGTCCAAAACGGACAATTTCTTAATGATAGTAATGGTACAACAAGACTTTTTCTTGAAGAAGAAACATCTTGGAACACACCACGTGAAATTATGTGGAAATCGAAGGGGTTGTAAACGTCAAACTACGATGGTTGGAAACTGTTGTGGTACATTAAAGTCAATTTAAGTAATGGGACATATATGGTTGTAGAATTTTGTACGTTGTCCCAATTGCAAGGTAGTCAACCCACGGGTCGACCCGTGGGTCGACCTGCGGGTTGACCCATTTAATCCTGGTCCGGTGAGAAAAACCTACCGTAGGTAAATATATACGTACCTTGGAATTTAGGAACGGGGCGTTGGAACCAGAGCATGTCGACGCCGTGGCGGTGGTCGGTGGCGTGGAGTGCGGTGACCGGAGGGCGGTGGGAGACCTGCTCCAGCCGGACGTTGAGTGAACGGGAGGACACGTGGTGGGTCTCCCCGAGGACCGGGTTGTACGGCACCAGCCCGATGATGCCGGGTCGGTTCATGGAGATGCTCCACCCGACCACCCGGGTGAACCGCTCCAACGGGTCGCATTTGGTGCTGCTGCAATCCGACAGAATGTCCTTCCCGGCGCAGTACACCATTTCCCCGTACGCCTGCAGCTGCGACTTTGGGTAATTGAACGACGGCGGCAGCTGCACTTTCATACAGACCGTTTTTTTTGTATAAACTAATTGGTATCGAGAATAACTCGAGTTATAATGAGAAAGACTTATGGTATGAATCTTATATCACTTCCTTATATATACGCCATCTCAAACGACCATGAATTTGAAATTTGCACGGACCTAACCCGTCATATCAGATAGCTAGTTTGAATCAACTTGAGAGAATCTCAATATATATATATAGATCTTAATTATACCACTTCTTTAAATAAATCAACGACTCGCGAGTTAACGAGAGAACCGGTATATAAATCTTATACTACTTTCTCACCACGCCGGCCCTCTGATCAAATAACGATCCAACCCACGAGCTTGCAGTTTGTACAAACTCATTCATATATATATATATATATTACTTGCCTGGAAGGTGGTGAGATCCGAGCCAGGGCGGACGTTTTTGAAGAGGCTCAACACGCGTTGGACGAGGTTGGGAGTCCTGTATTCAACGTCGTCGTCGTCGTCGGAGTGATCTCCGGCCGGCCGATCCGCCACCATCAGCGGCTTCGTAAGCACCAGTACTTCCTGCAGCGGCTGCTGTACCTCTCTTTCGTCCTTCCATCTTTGATCTCCATTATTTACCCGTTGTATTGGTTTGTCAATACCAATCTCCATTGTTCGTTCTCCAGTATACTAGCTAGCTCCAAGAAGCGCGTTACAGTACTCTATAAAGTAGCATGAATGAATGAATATATATATGTACACTTAGCTTCTTTCTTTCCAAGCAGAGATCGACAAGGCGTAGGTATCCTCCTCGATCGATCGTCATAAATAAAATACAGTTCAGTTCTGCAACATTAATAATGCAAGTTGGCCAACCGCAACATTCTTTTCTTCCACGTACTCTCATATCCATCGTATTCGTCATTTATTTATACGTACATGCATGTGTAGGAAGGAATACGGGCGGAGATTGGACAGGGTATGGCTCCGGTTTCTTTGACCGGCGGGGGAAGGGACGAGGCGGTGGTGGTGGTCACACAATAAATTACGGTATGGGGCTTTAAGTGCAGTAGTTGACGAGAGATTGTGATGTTTCGTTCCCTACAAACCGTCCGATTTATTTTCTTTGCGGTGACAATAAGTGTACCCTCCTTAAAAGTCATTGCACGACTCGTATAGCTAGAAATGGATTTATAATTATATATACGCGGTATCTATGCTTTCTTGGTACTAATACGAACTAAAAAGCGCGACAATCTGGAATTTATTTGGTTGTTTGTTTTAGTGGTGAATTGTCAATTTTAGCATGAGTATATAATTCCTTCCTTCCATATCCATCAAAATAAAATAAAATAAAAATTATAATATTTTATAATACTAAATAGAAAATCTCAACAATTACAATACCACTCAATTGATCAGTCCATACATATCAATGTTGAGACTAAAAAAAAAAAAAGTTGGAAAATAATTAGAGGAATATTGTGACGGTACAAATGAATTATGAGACAATTCGGAGATAAGATATTCGGGATAAAGTTTTAGTGAAGGGTTATATGAAAATTGAGAAAGTGTAATATATATGTAGAAAGTGGATTTAGTAAGCTTCACTCATAAAATTTCTTTTTGAATGAAAATATCCTCTCCTTGTCACCGTATAGCTAGTTAGACACTATTCTTATGGGCAATACTTGAAAGCAACCCGGGTTGCAGCCCGTAGCTGCTGCCAGGCCAGGTGGCGCTTCCTGATTGGGCTATCATTAATTTTATTTTTTAATTACTAATTACAATAACGGAGGAACGGAACGGCACAAGACTCCCAAATATCATAGCTTGCCTTAGTTACTTTTTACTCAACCTTTTGATTTAAGTCTTTTATTGCAAGAAGCAAAGTGATGACTTTTGATATTAGATTTGGAGTTTCAAGAACATAATTTCAAGAAAAACCATCTCTTACCACCCTGAACCACTTAGTACCACTTTCATTTTTAGCTAAAATTTTACACATAATGAACGAGAGACCTATTGTGATTTACAAATTTTCCAAAAAATTTAGGACCAAATATATTTGCCTTATATAGGATGGTAACTTATGGTAAACGATGGTGAAATATAATACTTGTGTTTAGTATATTTATTTATCATGCATAACACCATGCGATGGAGGAGCTATGTTGAAACTAGGAGGTAGGGCTGGTAAACGGTTATTCTGTTAACGGTGTAACTGATAATCAAATTGGAACTGGGGCTTAACGGTTATACCGATAACCGATTATTGTGTACTTGTGTTGCATTGAGTTGATTATGTATTGATATATATCTATGTTAAATTATTTTTTATTCAATGACAACAACTTAAGAAAAGGACACATGCCTATGTATGAAAAATTACAAAAGATTTACAATTGAAAAAAGGAGGTCTTTTGTTGGTTAGGTTATCGATCGGTTATTTTGGTATAACCTTGCCGAATCACTTAGTTAACGGTTATCCAGTTAACCGACAAAATAATCGAGAACCGACTATACGATTACGATTAACCGACTAATTTAAACGGTACGGTTAACAATAAATTTAAAGTGCTTAACGGTTAACCGAGAACCGATTAAACGGTGTTGGTTATAACCGAACCGAATCTATTATCAGCCCTACCAGGAGGGGTTGTAGCACCCATCAACTATGAAATATAGGTAAAGTTACATTAAAACTTGATAAATTTCTCACCATTTTAATACAAAAGATTAATAAAAATCTCAAATTCGCTAAAAGAATGTAATTTGAGATAATATCTATTTGAATATATCTTGAGCCATACATTTTTTAACTATGTATTCCACCATTGAAAAGTATGCTCATATTATCATACATTTTTTTTTTATCATGAATGATTTATCTCTTTGTACAAGAATTAATTCATTTAAAATTATGTTCTTGAAACTTCAAATCTAATATCAAAAGTCATCACTTTCCTCCTTGCAAAAAAAGAGTTAAATCAAAAGGTTGAGTGCTATATGATATTTGGGAGTTGCTGCACCTTACCGTTAATCCCAATGAGAAATGGAAATAACGGAAGTCTTACCGTTCCGTTCCTCCGTCATTGTGATTAGTAATTATAAAATGAAATTAACGGTAGCCCAATCAGGAAGCGCCACCTGGCCTGGCAGCAGCTACGGGCTATTCTTATGCATGTTTAGCTAGTTTGCTTTGCTTTTTGTTTCGATCGAAAACCAAACAATAAAGTAATTTCAAAAAAGAGACAGTGAGTTAATTAGAGAACAGGACGTCCAACTGCACGCCAATATTGGTTTGCGACGTGGAGAGACAGAAGCCTTTATAACACCAAGACTATATATGAGGCTCGTGTCTATTTCCGAGGGGTTTGTTAAAAGGACTTATTCTTGTTTATTACTAATTAAGATAAATAACTTTATAACAAGAAAATCATTCTCTTATTACGAAGGTGTGTCTCTCAATATTATTTGAGGTGTGTTGGAAGTCACGAATTAAAAAAAAAATTTGTGTCAAAAATATATATGTCATTCACAAAATTTTCGGGCAAGGGTGTGTCATTCCTTACTAGATCCACCCCTGATTGCATTCATTGAGTTCCGTGGTGCATCGCTCGTAGTATCTTAGTGAGCAAAAAGGTTATGTCGTTTTGAACACTTTAACCAAGTTTTGCTTGCTAAAGTGGCTTGGTAGATTCTAGAGGATTCTGGTCTCTGTAGCTCAAATAACGGTAAGTATATTGTATGTCATTTTGACCAAATTTGGACTATAAAACTAATTTCAGTCGCCATAAATGAGAAAATAATCTTACTAATAAACAATTTTTTTTTTAATAATTACGGTGATCACTGATCAAACTTGCAAGGCAGAAACAAAAGTAAGGGCAATTATGGAAATCGAATGAGTATTGACGGGTCGGTTCAACTCCGGCCCGGCCCGGCCCCGTAACGGAGTCTCGTGGACTGAACGAGGGGAATTTCGCAGAGGGAAGCTCGCAAAGAGAAGAGAAAAAAGCTCTCAGGCTGATCACATAACAGTATAGCATCACCTGCCGGCCGCCGCTGCTTTCTTCTACATCCCCTAACGCCGGCGAAGTAAGTCTCTCTCTCTTTTTCTGTGGGTAATTTCGTGATTGGTAAAGGACGGGAAATTTTCAGTGCTGTGGATCTCTCTGTGAATAAGCTTCGTTCCAGATTTGATCCCCCACACTAAGATTGGTTTTAGGGGTTATTGCTGTAGAATTGATACCTTCAGCCAAGCTTAGGTAGTTAGGGTCCAGCGGAAGAGTTTCTGATGCGGTGAATGAGATTGAATTCTTGGTTTGATTGCTTCTTGTATGCAGTTTTGTATTCGCATTTCAGGTTACTTTGGCAGATGAATTTCATGTCTTGGTGTTAGTTCTAAGTTTTCTTCTTCTTCTGGGTGTTTATTTCTAGCCCATATAGAATGTGTTAAGACCTTTGTATCCTAATTTGCTAAAGGGCTCATTTTTTCCTTGTTCATTGGTTTACTAGACATGCTGAGGTGAGCATATTCTTATTGACATCTGAGCTGTGTCGCTTGATTTGGGCACTTTTCTTTGTCGTTGCGGAAGTTTAACTCTGGATTTGAAATGAATGTCCTTTGATGGTCTTAGATACAGTTCTCAAACTGAGCTTAGTAGGCTTTTGGTAGTATGTTTGGATTCCGGCTAAAGCAGTGCTCTTTCAGTTTCGAGCCGGTGCAACACTTGGTTGCTTGTGAAGTTTATGAGGGGGCATGCTTGGGATTAGAATGGATCTCTTCTCATTTTGAATATACAATGGAGTGGTTTGTTCCGTGAAATTGTTTGATGGCCATGGCTTCAGTAGTTATTGGGTGGAGAAAGATCCAAAAATGGTTGGCAATATGTGGAAATGTGGAGTTCTGTACATTCTCTTCAAACTTTTTCTGCTTAGTTAGTTCCAAGAAATTGTTTGATGGCCAAAGCTTCTGTAGTTATTGGGTGGAGAAAGATCAGAAAATGGTTAGCAATCTGTGGGGAAATGGAGTACTATACGTTCTCTTCAAAATCTTTCTACTCTGCCTTTATCATGTAAAACCAAACTTCACTGTGTCGTTGCTCCTGCCTAGAGCAAAGTCTATGTGGTTAGCAATCTGTGGGGAAATGGAGTACTATATGTTCTCTTCGAAATCTTTCTACTCTGCCTTTATCATGTAAAACCAAACTTCACTGTGTCGTTGCTCCTGCCTAGAGCAAAGTCTATGTGTCACTTACGCGTGATTCATTTTCTAATCAGTTGATTTATTTGGACTAACCGTTCCTTTTGCAGGTTCTTTCCATTCTCTTGTTGGTTTGATCAGGTTATTCAAACCTTGATACAAGCATCAGCAAAACAGGCTCAGAAGATGCTGCGCACAGAAGTACTAACTGCCTACAAATCTCTGCTGAGAGCTACTCGTAAATCATTTGCTGGTGACCAGTTGATGTTGAATGGTTCGGCAATGGAGATCAGGAAGAAATTTGATGAGAATCGTCAAGTTACCTCTGAGGCTGAAATCAGAAGGCTCCTTGAAGAGGCAAATGAAGCTTCCCATTTCATATCAACCATGATTGTTCAAGCTAAATTGAACGAACGGGGTGGCTATGGTATGTGAATGCTCTTAATCTATATTTATCCACAGTTCTTGGACCAGTTTCCTTTTACCATCATTTTCTTTTTTTAGTTTTGTTGCTTGGGAAAGGTTCTCCATCGTTCATGAGGTAGCCTCCATCAAGGAGGCACTCAAACATCTTGATCTAAGTTGTTCTTGGAGAAATCTGTTGCGTGACTGAAAATGACTAAAATTGTCATGAT